ATGAATTAAGGACCTTAGTTTGAAAACTAAAACCAAAATTCACAGAAGAAAATGTAGGGACAAAGATGTGGGACCTAGGGTTTTGTGATAGGTTATCAGCTATGACAACAAAAACACGAGCAGCAGAAGACAGTATAGATAAATGGGGCCTCATAAAAATTACACATTTCTGTGCATCAAAAGACTTTATGAAAAATGTGAAAAGACAGCCTATGGAGTGGGAGAAAATCTTTGGGAACCATATATCCAACAAAGGTCTAATATCCAAAATTTACAAAAAAGTTCTACAATGTACAACAACAAAAAAAGACAAGCAACCCAATTAAATAATGAGAAAAAGACTTGAACAGACATTTCACTGAGGAGGATATTCAAATGGCCAACAAGCTCATAAAAAGATGTTCAAAGCCATTAACCATTCACAAACCAAATCCACAGCAGTTGAGTTGATTCCAACTGGGGGTGCAGTGGTTAAGCTTTTGGCTGCTAACTGAAAGGGCAGCAGTTCAAACTCACCAGCCACTCCACAGGAGAAAGATGTGGCAGTCTGATTCTGTAAAGAGTACAGCTTTGGAAACCCTATGGGGAAGTCCTACTCTGTTCTACAGGGTTGCTATGAGTCATTAACCATTAGGGAGATGCACATCAAAACCACAATGAGATATCATCTCACTCCCATTAGAACGGCAATGATCAAAAAAATGGAAAACATTAGGTGTTACTCTAAAGTACAAACCTGATCACACTGTTTTCCTGCGGTAAGACTCTTCAATGGCTCCCCACTGCCCTCTGGGTAAAGTCCAGAAGACTTAGTTAGGCATACGGAGTATCTTAGTCATCTAGTGCTGCTATAACAGAAACACCACAAGCGGATGGCTTTAACAAAGAGAAATTTATTCTCTCACAGTCTAGTAGGCCACCAGTCCAAATTCAGGGCATCAGCTCCATGGAAAGGCCTTCTCTCTCTGTTGGTTCCAGAGGAAGGTCCTTGCCTTCAGCCTTCTCTTGGTCTGGGAGCCTCTCAGCGCACAAACCTCAGGTCCAAAGGACACGCTTTGCAACTGGCACTGCTTTCTTGGTGGAATGAAGTCCCCATGTGTCTCTGCTCGCTTCTCTCTTTTATATCTCAAAAGAGATTGGCTTAAGACACTATCTAATCTTGTAGGCCTCATCAGTATAACTGCTGCTAATCCATCTTATAACATCATACTGATAGAGTTTAGAACACATAAGGAAATCACATCAGAGTTACAAAATGGTACACAATCATACAATACTGGGAATCATGACCCAGCCAAGCTGACAGGTATTGTGGGGGGACACAATTCAGTCCATGACATGGAGTCTGCCAAATCTGGCAACTCTGCTTCTCTGCTCCGTTTCCTCCTCCGTCCCTCCCTTGCTCCCTGCACTCCAGCGGAACTGTTCTACTCTCCCAAACACCCCATGCTCCCCCACATTTAGCCTTTGACCACCTGGTCTCTCTGCCTGCGATGCCTGCTCCCTTCCCCTCCCCCCAATTTTTAACTTAATGACCAACGGCCTACACTGAATGATTTCCTTTGAACACAAACACAATTGAGGTGATGTGTAGACACTAGGCTGTCCCTTAAGGAAAAGAGGGCATAGGGCATGGGAGAGTTGTGGGTGGGGTGAAGTTCTGTGTGGCTCAAATCCTTTTAGGAGTGAATGAGGGCCTACAGCCAGCCCAGCCCTGCCACAGGAATTGAACCCTAAAGAGGGGACCTAAGAACAAGATCATAGAGAAGACTGAACAACCCTAAGTCAGGCGGTGAGGCCTAGAAAGAGTTAAGACCTGTCCAAGGATTCTGGCTAAGAAACTTAGTGTGCCCCTTTTACTCCCAACAGCCTTTTTGCTGTACTTCCTATCAGAGAAATCTCCACAGAGTAAACACCAGGGGTCAGGGCCATATCTTGGTTCATCTCTTTATCCCACACAAGGCTTGTTCTTGCTAGCTGCTGTTGAGTTGGCTCCCCACTCATGGGGACCCCATGCACAATGGAATGAAACCCTGCCTGGTCCTGCACCATCCCCATGGTTGGCTGCCGATTGGACAGTTGTGATCCATAGTTTTCTTTGGCTCATTTTTGGAAATAGATCACCAGGTCTTTCTTCCTAGTCTGTCTTAGTCTGGAAGCTCCAGTGAAACCTGTTCAGCATCACAGCAACACGCCAGCCCCCACTGACAGAAGGGTAGTGACTGCGCATGAGGTGCGTTGGTCAGGAATTGAATTCAGGTCTCCCGCATGGAGGAGAGAATTCTACCCCTGAGCCACACTGCCCCTACACAAAGCCTAGGTTTGACAGCTATTTGCTTAGTGGATAATTGAATAAATGGCTGTGGAGTTAATCTCCCCCAGGGTGAGGGAAAGGGGCCTCACCTCTCGCTTGACGCTCTGATTTGGTTTGAGGCACCTGATTTTTTGTGTTTGTTAAAACTGGGAAGGGGTGGGGGCCTTGTTTGTCTTAGTCGTCTTGCCCCTCTTTAGGTGTTCCCCTCTTTGGGTGTTCCCCTCTTTAGGTGTTCCCTTCCGCCACTCTTTTGTGTTGTCATCTCCCTCCCAGTTCCCCAGAGTCCCCAGCTCTGTTCTCAGCTTTGCTTTAGTGATAGGAGCTATCCACAAGTGCCCCAGCCTGCAGTGCCCTCTGGCTGCTGCTTAGTGAGGATAGTCTGGCTTTTCCCAAGACTCTGGAACCTCAGATTCACGCACTCAGTGGGGCCAACCTTTCTTCTTGGCCTTCTCTGCACCTGGGTCCCCAATCTCTCGCATTCCATTTCCCAGGCAGGTCTCCATCTTATGAACTGTAGGGGCTCCATTCACTTCAGCTGACCTCAGTGCATACGGCTCGAAGCCCCACACAGGAGGTGGGAGGTGGTGATGGAGCTCACCTCTGGTGGGTAATAATGACTATAGCGGATTGTAATTGAGGATGAACATGGAGACAGGCACCAGGTTCTCTGCTCACATACTTGAGGAAGCAAAAAATCAATAAATAAAAGAGGGAGTCTGTGGTTAGGTGCCCCAGAAGCCAACTTAATTCAATTGATCAAAGAGCAGCTGGTGGATTTGAACTGCTGACCTTTTGGTTAGCAGCTGAACTCTTAACCACTGCACTGCCAGGGCTCCTGTACCACCTTAGAGCTGCTAAATATCGTAGGCCTTACTGGATGCATGTGGTCAGAGCTGTAGTGTGCAGGATATCCCAAGTGTATTTGATGGAAGAACCTTGGAGGACAAAGGTCTGGCACCATCTGGAAAGGCTGATGAGAACGAAATGCTTATGAAAGGTGGTCAAGGAAGAGCCTCTTGGTGGGCATGGGGGGAGCTCACAGGAGTCTGGGTGTGTGTGTCATGGGAGTGTGGGGTCCACACCAGGGCACACAGCACAGAGTACAGGGACATTGGCAGAGGGGCAGGACGTCATTGAGGTGACACTGCAGGCTTCACATAGAAGAGAAATCTGGAGGATAAGTTGGAATCTTAGTGTATAGGGTTGTGAGTGGCCTGTTACGTTTGAACTCCATTTGATATGCAAACGGTATACCATTGGTGGCTTTCGAGGGGGAGGACAGATCAAAGAGGCCTCAGGGAAGATTTCTTTGTTGATGGCTTGAAGGAAGGATGATTCCAAGCAGAACAGTAGGTTGGGGGTGGGGCGAGGAGTTCACTGTGTTGTCTTATTATTGAATTATTTGTTATTATTCTTTTGTGTATAAAAAGCAGTTGCTGTGGAGTCAGCTCTGACTCATGGTGACCCCACATGTGTCAGAGTAGACCTATGCTCCAAAAGGTTTTCAACGGCTGATTTTTTGGAAACAGATCACCAGGCCTTTCTTCTGAGGTGCCTCTGGGTGGACTTGAACTTCCAACCATTGGTTTGGCAGCCGAGCACGTTAACCACCTGCACCATGCAGAGTTTCCTTCTTCTGTGTACAGAGGTATCAAAAATCCAAGGTGCTTGTTTTCACCACCTTGAAAACATGAACCACATGAGTGCCCTAGAACCTTCTGCTAGCTCACGAAGGATTAAGTCAAGTGTTATCAATTCTACCAGGAACCCTGCAAGTTCAGCATAAAATGACTTCTACTTAAATAAAATTACATCACACACACTCCTGTTCATATATACTGTTTTATTGCAGAAGGAAAAGAAAATCAATGCATTTTACAAATTTGAGGGCTGCAACAAGTTGTAGATTTTCTTTCCAGACATTCCTATGCCATGTTCCCCACAGTAAATAACCTGGACACAGCCAAGAGGTACTATTTCAGATAAGTAGAAACAGGGATCAGATGCTATCTGAAATAACTTTAGAAAATTTTGAGAAAACAGGCATATTGCAATGATTGTTTAAACGTTGCTTAAACCCTCAGAAGGAATTCCTACAGAGCAGCTGTGCCACTGGAGAGTGAATAATTAAAACATTCTGCCAAGTTTCAAGGCCTTCAGGCAAGAGGGACTCAACAGGCGACCGTGGAAGCCACAAAGGACTGAGGGAACTGTAGGTGATTCAACTGTGTCTGGGCTGACCCCAAGGCCACAGTGACTAATACAACTTACAAAACTACCAGGACAGAAACCATCCCGTTGGGGGATCCCAATGGACACTCTTGGCTGTGAGAGCCATCTGAACTTGGAGGCTTACTTCTGAATTCAGGAGACAGTGGATGGAAGTGTGCTTTTCACTGAGGCAAGAATGTGAGCTATGCAGGCTAGCCAGCCCAGCTCGCAGAGCCCTGAGAAGGCGGTGCGGCAAAGAGGAGCTCAGGAGTTACCTGTTGCTGTCGAGTCAATCCCGACTCAAAGCAACCCTATAGGACAGAGCTCGCAAGGAGTGCCTGGTGGATCTGAACTGCCGACCTTTTGGTTAGCAGCAGTAGCAGTTAACCACTACACCACCAGGGTTTCCAACAGTAGCAACCAAAGTGGTGTAGTAATGGTATCAGCCTGAAGGGTTTCTGGTATTAAGCCTTGAACTACCCTCCCAGAAAGAAATGCTGCAGCATTGACTGTATTTTAAAATGAACTCTAACAATGCCATTCATTCCCCTGAGTTTATGAAATGCTGAGATGTGATGGGGCAGGAGCGGGGTACAGTCTGAGATTCGCTAGGCAACTGTTTGGCATCCCCCTCTAGTGCTGGGCCCGTGTGTCTGGTTGGCTGGGACTGTTTGGGGGACTGTGGCTGAGTGTACATGGGGAATGAGAAAGCTGGGAAACGGCTGCTGCGCCCAGGTGGTGGGCACTTCCTCCGACTTGGCCCTTCAGGGCAGTCCCTAAGGTCTGGGGGATATCTGGGACCTAAGGACAGCAGGTTATAAGCGCTCACCGTCCAGCCACCTGTGAGCACGGGGTCTGGCCTGTGCTGGGCATATGGTGTGTAGGGGGTGGAGTGGTTGGAGGAAGAGATATGGAAAAGGCTCTCAAAGAAAATAACTATTCTTTGTATTAATCTATTGAGCCAACCCATTCCCTCACCTGGGGAGAATTTTGGAGATTATTATTAAACAAACAAGATGTTAAGTGATCCCTGAGCACCAAATTATTTAACAATCTTTCTTTACTAAGCTGGGGGTTCTCTTCCAGCACTCCAGAATTACCAATACAGTCCTGCCCAACAGCGGGGGACACAGGCGCCCCTCCCAGTGTTTTGTTTTTCTCTCTTCTCCCACAGGTCAATCTGACTCACTGCCGGGGCTCGCCCTGGTCCCCCTTCCCGCCCTGCGGCCGCTTACAGGTGAGCATGAGCAGCAGGAGCAAGGGCAGGTGCCACAGGCTGCAGAAGAACAGTCTCCGGGAGCTCTTCCGGTCGGCCTGGGTGTAGAAGCGGAAGCCAAGGTAGGAGATGTACAGGTTGATGGGGAGGGAGATGACGGGGAAGGTCCACGTGGTGACGTCCAGGAGGGGGGCCGCAGTGGACAGTCCAACGAGGGCCAGGCAGTGGCGCAGAGCCACGCGCCTGCACAGGGCCGGGTGCGTGACGGACATCATGCAGTAGCCTCCCCGGGCGTAGTCTTCCCGGAGCCCCCAGCTCAGGGCATTGAAGTGAGGGAACTGCCAGGAGTAGAGGATTCCTCCCAAGAGGAACGCGCCTACGCAGGGGGTTGGGGGAGAGGGAGACAAAGGCATGCGGTCACCGGAGATGAACAAGGCATGGTTCGCCGTCACCCGCGAGCCCTTCTGGTCCTCACAGGTGCTCCCTCTGGACTTCGCCCAGGACCTTGGATTCTCTGCCCTTCTCCGTCCTCCTGTCTGCGTCCCCAAATCAGCCTGCCACCCGAAGTAGCAAGCGGCAGGACTAGCTGAATGCCCTGCAGACACACCTTCCAGGGCTCTCCCCTTGGGGAGAAGTGTGTGTGTGGGTGGGGGGTGCTTGGCATGGGTCAGGGCTGTCCCAGGCACAGGCCTGGAGCACGTGGCCCCGACTCACTGAAACAACGCTCTTCACGCTGCCAGCATGGGACGCAGAAAGCCCCGGCGGTTTATCAAGCACTCTGGGGGCAGCACTGCCCTGGCCGCCCGCGGTGCAGGAGCTTCCCAGCTCTATTCCCCTAGCTGGGAGAGGACTCCCGAGAGGAGGGCGGGGACCCGGTGCAAGTGGAAGTGCACCCTGGTCAGCTCGGCCTCCCCTGCAGGCCCCTGCTCACTCCAGGGTGTCAGCGGCTCGGCTCACCACAGCCCTGCGTGCTCCCTGGGCCAGCGCCTCACACCTGGGCTCTGTCGCCTGTCTGCGTCACCAGGGGCCTGGGAGGACTATCAGGGCAGGGGGCTGGCACGTTCCTCTCAGGAGTCCCCGCGGCCCACATCTGGGCCCTGAGTCTGGCCAGTGGGAAGTACTAAGACAGCCTGTGTTCTAACATACGACCACGGTGCTCTTTGGCATGAAGGAATAGGATGGCAGGGTGGGAAGAAAACTTATCTATCTCTTCCTCAGGAGGGAGCGGAGCCTCCCGGCCACCCTCCCGGGTAAGATGGGAGCAGCCGTGCTTACACAACACAGCCCTGCGGCAGAAGGCGGGATACCATTACCACTTATGTGAGGGTTTATCCTGACTCTAGGGCTTGGAGGGAGAGGGCTTATAATCCTCAGGTGAAAAAATAAAACAGATCAGATGAGGTTAAGTGACTTGTTCCAAAAGAGATGAAGGAGAAATTCTAGAATCAGGCTCCCGCCATTCTGAGGAGTGATTTCAGTGCTCATTTCCTCAGGCAGAAACTATCTGCTGAGCACCTGCTCCGTGGGAACACAGTGCTGGGCCGGGGATACAACGGGAGCAGAGACGTAGGTGTGTCCCTGCGGTATGGGGCTGCCATCTAGCCCACGAGGCAGGGATTAATCCAGACCCACACTAACCAGCCCAAAGTTACCACTCCAAAATGCTCTGAAGGGCAATAAGGACACATAAGCGGAGCTGCCCAGCCTCAGGTCAGGGAAGCCTTCTTGGGTGAGGGAAGCCTTCTCGGAGGCTGTTTGAGCTGAGAGAGACTGTCCTAGCCAAGTGAGGCTGGGGGAGGGGACTGCTCAGCAGAGGGAAAAGGACAAGCCCAAAGGCCCTGGGACAGGGCCCACGGTGTATTCAAGGTTTGGATTCATAGAACCGGACACCACAAGAAAAAAAGGTAATTTTACTGTATGATAATATAAAAAATAAAATTAAAGACAGGAAAGTGAGCGTGGCTGCAGTGCTAGAATGACAGGGCACCATGCGGGATCTGGCTGGTGAGATGGAGCGCTCACCTCGCACGACTCTGCAGCCCAGTGAAGAATCCTCTCCTGAAAGCCACTGCCCGTCAAACCCCACTGACTCACAGCAACCCTGCGGGACAGAGGAGAACTGCCCCGTAGGGCTTCCAAGGCTGTAATCTTTACGGAAGCGGACTGCCGCATCTTCCTCTGGGGGAGCAGCTGGTGGTTGTGGATCTTTTGGATAGTAGCCCAGTACTGACCCACTGCACAACCAGGGCTCCCGAAAGCCACCGCAGGATCTTCAGACATGAGAGCGTGTGCACCTGTGCGTCTGTGGGGTGTGGGGGTGGAGTGTGGGGAGGCCCTCGTGTTTCCTGATAGATTTGTGAAAGAACACAGTCGAGCGGCCCCGAGCAGGGTGGGGAGATCAGTCAGGAGATGACAGATGGGAGTGGTTGGGACCAGGTGGTGACAGTGGCGATGGAAGGCAAACGTGACAGGCTGTGGGTGCACAGACTAGACGGGGAGTGAGGGTGACGGGGATCAGGAGAGGGGAGGTCAGGAGTGTGGGCTGCAGCATGTTCAGTGTGAGGAGCCTCGAGATGTCCAAGTGAGTGTTCACCAGGAGGTGCAGGTGTTGCCTAGGGGTGTATACTGGGGCGTTACTGGTACATACTGATACAAAGACCAGATTCTTTGGGTGAAGTTATTTACCCCACACCTCGTCTCTGGAATTGCCTTAGATGCTCTGACCCAGTTACTTTTTTCCCTGCCGCCAAACGCCTCCTACAGACCCGAGAGTTTCTCCACCCGCTGGGAAGGACCGACTTGCATAGGAGGAGAAGAGGTCCAGCACTTGTAACTACAGTTCCATTTCAGGTAATGAGGATGTTTTAAGCCCCTAGTCTATGAGGATGGTCAGAAAGAGACAGTGAGGGATATTGCTAAGGCAGCATTCACTAGGAGAGAAAAGAGTTTAAATAAATAATTCAGAAAACAAGTCTGGGGCCCTAAGATCCCAGAGGGCCCCTGTTGGTGTCCATGCCAATGAGGATGAGAAGAAGTGAGCCCCATGTGAACCTCTCAGCTGTATTCCCAACAATATGGACTGTCGAGTGATCACAGGGCAGGTTGCCAAATCATCTAAAAGAAAGGATGAGGATGGTTTTTATTCACCTTATTACTCTGGGCAGAAATTTACTCATTTCTGATTTCGGTTTCTCAGGATAACAGGTGGAGAAGATTTAACAGGGACAGGGGCCTACTTTCATATCCATTAAGTTTCCTGTGGCTTCCTTTCCTTGGAAACCCTATGGGGCAGCTCTACTCTGTCTTCTAGGGTCACTATGGGTTGGCATCAACTTGACGGCAATGGGCTTATTTGTTTTTGGTTTGGTGGTCAGTCAATTTCTTTTCAGTTTCCAGTATGGGGAGGAAATATATCAAATACTTGATTTTAGGGTACCTACTTCAGTTGCTAGAAACCCTGGCATAGTGGTTAAGAGCTACGGCTGCTAACCAAAAGGTTGGCAGTTTGAATCTACCAGGTGTTCCTTGGAAACTCTGTGGGCCAGTTCTACTATGTCCTATAGGGTCGCTATGAATCGGAATTGACTAGACGGCAGTGGCTTTGGTTTGGTTTTTGGGTATTTCAGTAGGGTTGGAGCCAAGTCCCCAAATCCATTCTTAACTCTATCTACAAATAACATAAATATCTATGTTAGGTCATGTGAACATACTCCAGTTTAAACGGTAACATATTAGTGGTTGGCAGCTGTTGTTTGTTGAATTAATTCACTTGATAAAGAGTTAATAGGTGTATATTCTTTGCCAGGCTCAATTCCAGATGCTAGAAAGACAGCAGTGTACAAGGCAAGCACACTTACACTTTAGAAGGGAAGGGAGACATAAACACAATAACAGACAGTGATGAGGGCTCTTTAAAAACCAAACCAAACCCACTGCCACTGAGTCTATTCTGACTCATAGTGACCCTATAGGACAGAGCAGGACTGCCCCAGAGGGTTTCCAAGGCTGTAAATCTTTACCGAAGCAGACTGCCACATCTTTCTCTGGAGGAGCAGCTGGTGGGTTCGAACTGCCAACCCTTCAGTTAGCAGCGAAGCGCTTAGCCACAGCACCACCAGGGCTCCTGAGGGTTGTTTAGAGACTCAAAATAGGGCGATGTGAGGGGAGTGACTTGAAATTGACTGGTCAAGGAACACCTTTCCGAAGACTTACTCTACCTAACTGCCCCTGGCGGCACAGTGTTTAAGAGCTCGGCTGCTAACCAAAAGGTTGGCAGTTCAGACCTACCAGCGGCTCCTTGGAAACCCTATGGGGCAGTTCTACTCTGTCCTATAGGGCCGCTATCAGTTGGAAACGACTCGATGGCAACAGGTTTTAGTTTTGGTTTCTACCCACTGCCTGGAAGCAGAATTCTCTGGGTCTTGGGAGAGGCCACCCGAGGCAGAGGGCCCTGCAAGACAATGGCAAGGGGGCTTAGCATGTTTCTGGGACAGCACGGAGGCTGGAGGACGGAGACAGTGTTACAAGAGGGGCTGGCAAGGCGGGGGCTAGATCACTTATTTGTTGTTGCTGTTGTCAATTCTGATTCATGGCGACCCCATTTATATCAGAGCAGATCTGTGCTCCATAGGGTTTTCAGTGGCTGACTTTTGGGAAGCAGATTGCCAAGCTTTTCTTCCGAGGTACCTCTGGGTGGACTTGAACCCCCAAGCTTTCAGTTAGCTAAACCAGGAGAAGGAGCTGGGCTCTTTCCAGCTCAGTGAGTAACCACGGGAGGGGTGGAAAAGAGACTGCAAGAAGACTAGTGAGCAGGCAGGTACCACAGGAGGGACGACGCTGGTGGAGCCTGATGCCTTTTACTCAGATAGAGAAAACTGGCGACCTGTACAGGCGAGTGGGCTCGCGATGGAGATGTGAAGAGCCCTACTGTTGGCTGTTTTACGTTTGAGATGCCTCTTAGACATCCAAGTTAAATGCCCACTACACACAAGGCACTGGATAGAGGAATTACACATTCTCTTTCTAATCCTCAGGACAACGCTTCCTATAGGTATTAATTATTACCATCATGTTACAGATGAGAAAGCTGCGGCTCAAAGAGATCCACTAACTTGCAAGATCATTCAGAACTACAGGCACAGTATACTAGCACTCCTTTCAGAAAGCTGTTGTTTATCTTGACTCAAATATATAACATTCCTATGTCAACCATCTGGTGGTGATTCAAGTGCCAGTGGAACTGAGTGGAGGGAGGTTTGCTGGAAGGCTACACCACAGGCTTGTTGGGAGGCAAAATCACGGAGGCATTTTCCAGTTTATTTAGTTAAGAGGATTAGACCAGTAAAACCAGTTGCCATTGAGTTTCTTCCTACTCAT